CAGGGCTGCGGGCTCCGCTCCGGGCCCCGGCTCGGGCAGCACCGCTCGCTGCTGGGGACGGACCGAGAACTGAGGCGGGGTCCTGTGCCCCGCTTGTGCCCGCCGGGCCCGGGCTGCTCTCGGCCCCCCACGCCAAGTGCGCCTTGTGCGTCTTCTTCCCTTCCCTTTTCTTTTCGGGTCTTTCTTCTTTCCTTCATTGTATCTTGTCTTTTCGCTTTTCTTTTCTTATCTTGTGCTTCTTCTTTAATTTTCTTTTTTTTCCCTTTTTTCCTTCCTTTTCTTTTATTGTATTTTTCTTTTCTTTTCTTTTCTTTTCAGGCTGGAATATATCCTGCTTCTGCAACTTTCTGCCATCTGCCAGGCCCCAATCCTTCCTTTTTAGCAGGCCAGATCATCATGGATCCTGGTTTTCTTTGATTTTGCACACCACCCTCCCCCCCCCCCCCCCCCCCCCCCCCCCCCCCCAGCCACAAGCACAAACAGACTATATGATTTTAACCTATATTTTTGGCATGGGCAATAGCCCAGCTCCACGTGTTCTCATTCAGTGACTAGCCTCATACAGACAGAAAAATACATAGGCCCTAAACTGTTCCCCAACTATATAAGTCATCAAAGCAATTTTAAAATCAGGGGCTTCAAAACAGCCTCAAAATGAAATCATAGAATCATAGAAGTAGGGTCGAAGGGACCTTGTAGATCTTCAAGTCCGACCCCCTGCCTGGGCAGGAGAGAAATTGGGCTCAAGTGACCCCAGCCATGTAGGCATCGAGCCACTTCTTAAAGACCCCCAGGGTAGGAGCCAGCACCACTTCCCTTGGAAGTTGGTTCCAGATCCTAGCCGCCCTAACTGTGAAGTAGTTCCTACGGATGTCTAATCTAAACCTACTCTCCAACAACTTGTGAAATGAGGGCAGTCGAAATATTTGGAAAGTTTCTCAACGTTTCGAGTTTCGAAGCTCAGGCTGGACTTTCCTGCAGGGAAACAGAAAGTAAGGAGAGGGAGGGGGAAGAGTGGGGAAGGACTGCTCTCATATTGACTGTGTAGCTGGCCAGTGACTGTGATCCTTCCCTGAGGTCCCTTCCAATCCCAGTGCTCTGGGGGAGGGATGGAAAAACAGCAGAAAAGGCATCTTTGTTTGAACTGCCTTGCTTTATAGGAAGGGAGATACATTTGTACCTTGCGGCATAGACTACACACCTTAGAGAATGTATATAGGAATGCAGATACATGTATATATTTGTATAAAAGCAAGACACTATGAAACACACCAGGAAGCATGGTAGAAAGGCAGGTGGCAAGCCTTCAGGGAGGGGTGGAAGAGTGGGTACAGGGAGAGGTGTAAGCCTCACCCCCCAAACTGAGACACAGCCTCTTGCCTACCACTAGTAGGGATGAGGCTTTCACAAGCAGCAAGGAGAGGGGAGCAGTGCCAGTGCTACTGCCTGTGCCCGAAACTGCATCGCCTCCAAGGGCACCAGCCATAATGCCTCCACACCACCACCATGACAACAAGCAGCAGCACCAGCATGACAGTCTCCTCCACCCCCATTACACTTCCCGTGCAGAGCCTTCCAGTGTCAGAGGAAGAGCTGGATCTGGACCTGAGTGCCCTAGCAAGGGAAATTCTGGGGAAGGAGGGGGAATCACCTGAGTTTGTGCTCTACAACCTTCATGTTTTCCATAGAGCCAGGTCTCCTTCCTCACAAGGCACTTCAGAGGAGGCTGAGCTAGAGGTGTGACCCCCTTGGCCTACTGGGTAAGCCACAGCCAGATGTGGCCGGATCTGGCCACAGTTGCCCATGAACCCTGTCCTGTCCACCACCCAGTGTGCTGAGCGAGTGGGTGTTCAGCATTGCTGGGGATGTAGTGACACCCCACTGCACCTGTTTGGATTCTGGTTTGGTGGAGCAGCTGGGGTTCCTCAAGGTGAACCTCCTGCTGCTGGGGTTCCCCAAGCTCCAGGTGCAGACAGAGTGAATGCCACCCTCCTCACTCCATCTGCACTTATTTCCTTTTTTCATTTTTTAAGAGTCATTTAATGCCCCACTCCCAGAGCTGGAGGGGGCACTCACTGCACCACCAGCCAGCAGGGGAAGGACATGTCCTGCTGAGCTTCCATGCCAGGACAAACTTGGAGGTATGAGCTGGGGCTATGGGGAAGGAGGAGGCCCAAGGTCCTGGACATGACCACTAAAACTGCACTCTACCAGGGTCGGGGACTGCTTGGTGGGACTGCTGATGGTGCAGCAGCCCCAGGAAATGCCAGGACCAAGGATCAACCTGATGAAAGGCGGGTAGGAGGCTCCATAACCTCTAGCTACTACATGCATGCATACAGTCCTGGCTGGGGAAAGCCCAGACCCCATCATGTCTTTGACAGGCCTGAGGCTTGCTGGTTGCAGTGGAGTTGTGAGGCTCCAGGTGAGCTCAACTTAACTGCCTGGGATGCAAGCTTTTGGGTTGAAAAACCCTTTGTCAGGCTGAGAAAGCACCTGCAGTTGGTGTGTGTGCTGTTTCTGGATGGAAGGAAAAGTAAAGAAGTCAGAGGCTGTCATGCAATGCAGGCAAGAAAGCCAGTCAGTGAAAATGGAAATGGAGGCGTCAGAGAGTGTTTACCGCGAAGCAGATAACATTAAATGATTCAGCACTGTGAAGGTAGGGTTCACAATCACTCTGAGGTCCCCTCCCTGCACTCCCTCCTGCTTGGCAGAACATTATTCCAGAAAGTAGTCAGCTGAGATCTCTGTGATTATAACAGCCTGGCAGTGGGTCTGTCCACAGTGCTCAGCTGGGATTGCCACTTCAACCTGGGCACCATCTAACATCTGGGTGTCCAGGAAGATTTCCCTTGCCTTGCATATAGCGTGGAGGATACGGGTGGCAGAACTCCTTAAGGTTTATGTAAGCTGAGGCATGATGAGGGAGTCACAGAATGAGTATATGAATCCCACGGATGGCCTCCACACAGCTCAGGAGGCCATGGTGTTCAGACCTGGAGATTATCTAATGCAGATCTCCAAGCCTGATGAACCAAAGCCCTAAATCCTCAGTTATTATACTACACACCCATCATCACCATTGTCTATCCCCTGCCAAACTGGAACAGAGAATGTCGATGTGTACCAGTTTCTAAGTTACCATGGCCACATGTCTTAATGGACACAGGACATCGAAGCCTCATGTCCTGGTGCTGGAGCAGGGGGGCCAGCGCAGCATAAAGGTCCAAGAAGGTACCACAGGACGTTCTAAAGTTCCACTGCCACTGCTCATTTTGAGCACAAGTTACTCCCACCAGTCCATGCTCACCAGTAGTGCCCAGCTGCAATGAGTAGGGGTCCACCTAAATCCTAGTGGGATTTACAATGTTCGCAGGTTGATCGTGGCATAAAGTTCTAATTCTGCAGTCATTTCGTGGCTGTTCCACCCTTGGCAGTGATTGGTGCAGAGGCCCTGTGGGGGTAGGGATGAAGGTGTGGCCATCATCTTTGCTGGCTGCCCTTTGTGCAGTCCTGCCCTTCAGTGCTGATTGGTGGAGAGGTCCCATCTGGAGGAGGACAGCAAAGGGGGCAGCCACCATTTTGTCTCCTGCCCTTCATGCTGCCCTGCCAGCCGACACCTACCCCTGGCAGCAAGGACTGCTAGCTCCCACTGGGGAGCCAGCATTTATTTTATTAATGTTTTGGTGTTGTTGATTTCATGGCCAATCACAGATTTTGTGGTTTCTGCAAAATCTGTGAATTAAGTAGGTCCCCAGCAATAAGGTAAAATTTAGTACTGAGCCTGCAGATCAGTGGCTTGTGTGATGGTGTCTTCTGCCTCTTGCAAGTGGGCAAACATGATGCCCATTGCAATATCATCATGCTCAAAGTAGTGCCACCCAGGACCAGGAGCTCAAGCTACTGAAACATGGAGCACCTGTGAATTACATTGGCCAGGGCAAGGATTTGCTCAGTTCTGCCACTTCTCATCTCCAGAAAACAATGGAAATCCAGTCCTACTTGGGACAGTCAGTCAAGGGGGAATTGGAGACCCCGTGCCTGGCCAAGGAGGTGTTGGAATTCATGTCCTCAGGTGATCAGCCAAGTCAATGCTTTCCTCTGTGCTCAGCTGTTTTTGGTTACCATTGGAAATATAAGAAAGAGGTGCTCTAGCAAAGCATGCCAGGATATCTGCTTGCCAGCCCTCTAGTGGCAGAGGGCAAGCTGTGCAAGTCAGAAATCATAGTAAATATTACCGTGCGACTGCTCAAAATACGTTCTAACTTTAATACTGCATAATATTGCACAGATTAAGTATGTGCCCCTGCTCCAGGCGCTCAGCACTGGGGTAGGACCCAGGAAAAATCTTTATGCTCTCCATTCTGCCTTCCCAAAATGAGGTACAAGTCTTATTTGGGGTGGGGTGTGATATGTGAGAAAATTTGGCATGGGGCCCTACTTCAGTAGGCTTGAGTCAGGATGGCACAAACTGTGTAAAGGCACTTTTCTAAAATGTACAATTTTACACCCATATTAACACTTAATTTATTCCTCCATCCCTGGTATTTTGGAAGTTTTGTGCAATTTCTTGGTAAGACAATATTGAGATGGGTAGGTGTTGTGTATCCAGTGCCTGTATGTTAGTTCTGCACTGTCAGCAGAAGGTGCTGCTTAAATTGCATTATTCCTGTATTGTTCTGCTTTACCCATATAGTGTTAGAAAATTGGTTGTTACTAATAAACATGATCCCTCAGTTCTTCCTTGTGGGATCCCTTCAGGACAGGAACCCCACAGATACACTACATTAAACATTTCTTCTCGATAGACTCAGTTGTGGGTACAGCATTTCCCCTCCTGCTTTGTCCTCCAGGCTGTACTTGGAATGGTGCCAACTGCATAAGTTCCCTTGACAGTTAGCAGAGCTGGGAAATAACTGCTTTGACTGCTTCCAAGAAGGAAAAACTTAATCAATTAAATGTCAGTAGATTTCTTTTCAGAATTTCCAAGTGTCCAAACCAGGTGTGTGCAAACCTGAGCGCTCAGTCCCTGAACCTGGCAGAAGGGGTGTGTGGGCATGTCAGGGCTCTGTGATGAAGAAAGTGATAGTGCTAAACTTGGGGGTCGGGGGGTGGAAACCTGCAGCTTCCTCCTATTCTGCATCACTTTGCTACTAAAGTGGGCATCAGGATGGTTTAGGTCTTGCTCTCCTTTCATACCTGTGAGGGCAGCTGTAGCTTTTGTTCTTGTCTACTGCTCTGTCTGCTCCCTCACTCTGCCTGTGCTTCTCTCCTTGTGTTCCCCGCTCCTTCCCCATCCCACTCCTTCCTTCCTGGCCAGGACTAGAGAGCTGCTATAAAACTGCAGTCAGTGACTCCTTGCAATCTCTTTCCTATTCCAGGGAGTATATTCCCCAGGACCAGTTTGAGGAGAATTTTGACCCAAGTGTCCTTCTAGCAGAGACACACCTGCTCTCTGAGCTAACGTGGGGTGGCAGACCTTATAAGCACTGGTATGAAAATACTGAACACTGTCATGCAGAAATCCACTTCCTGGAGAACTTCAGTTCCAAGAATAGATCCTGCACCATCACCTGGTACCTGTCCTGGAGTCCCTGTGCGGAGTGCTCTGCCAGAATTGCAGACTTCATGCAGGAAAACACTAACGTGAAATTAAACATTCATGTAGCACGGCTCTACCTTCATGATGACGAACACACCCGTCAGGGTTTACGGTATCTGATGAAGATGAAGAGAGTTACCATACAAGTCATGACCATCCCAGGTAATGAACTGTGGGGCTGGAGGGGCAGAATGGTTCAGAGGGAAGTATAATAGGACACAAAGGACTTGGGGCAGAATCCTGTTTCACCAAGGAGATGATAAGTGCCAATTAAACATTACTTACTTGCCCAGCCATATAACTGTGATCCTATCCCACTTTTTCTCCAGGTAGAAATCACATTTACCTGGATAAATGTATTATCTAGCTACACCTCAGCCTGGTAACTTGCACCTGCAGCAATGAGTGGCAGGGCACGGAGCTAGGTAGGAGGGTGAGGTTCTCAAGGCAGGATCAGGTGGAGGGAGGCCAGAGACCAAACAAGGACATGCTTCTGCACTCCACGGTATTAGCCTGTGACAGGACCCACATGGAGTGGGCAGCCCTCTGTCTCATTACAGCCAGTCCTGTTGCCCTCAGTTTTCTTATAAACTTCCCCCCATCCCAATTTTCCTGCTATGCCTTGATGTGCAAGTGAATTAGGAGGTATCCTGCTTCTATACTAGGTGGAGGAGCCTGAAGACCCCATCCCCCTGGACTGGCAGGGGCTCTGGTGCTTACAAGCCCCAGGCTATTATGTTCTGCTTAGATTGTATACAGCTGTAACCAAGAGTTCAGCTTGTTTGGAGGGCTCAGTCTCTCTGGGTGTGGGGTCCTTGTGCCCTCTGGTCCTTTTCCCAGTCTATTAACTCCCTTCTTGCTTCTGCCTCTCTGGGGTCTAGACCCCAGAGCCCCAGTTTGCAAACCTACAGCCTATCCTATAGGCCCCATTGGCACGTCCTTAGACCCCAAACATCCAGCTCAGGTTCCAGCTTTGAGATGTTATGCCTGCACCTGTTGGCCTAGTCCTTTAACGAGAGTCCCTCTCACAGGATACTCTCTCCAAGCACCCTGTTATGTGAACTCCTTATCTACTTCTAGCTGATTCTGGTCCACCAGGTGTCCACAGAATTGAAATTCTAACTTAGGCTCATCCCCAGTGCAGGGAAAATGGACACACCAAAGATTTCAGCCCTCAGGCTTGCTAGTCAAACAAAAAATACCAGCTGAGACTTATTCCCTGCTTCAAGTCTATTCACTTGGTCTGCAGGGGCCTTTCCTCAATCCACCAAAAGTGAGCCACTTGCTTCTGCAGTCTGAGTCCCTCTCTCCTGTGGTAGGCTTTTATACCCACTAGCCCTTCCCTTTCTGGTCACAGGACCCCTTCTGCTTCGCCTGGTAGAGGAGTCCCTCTCTGCCAGTGATAAGCTTGCTACTTGGCTCCCTCTGCCTCTCCTTAGGCTCCCTTTCAGGCCTCTGGCTCCTAGTGATCCCAAAGGTTTGAGTCTTAAGGGGGCCATGCCAGCTTTCCAGGTTTTTTCTGCCCTTTTCCCATAACAGGGATTTAATTTCCTGTTACATAGCCATTCCATGCAGATGCGCCACCCAGAGTCAACTATGGCCTTCAGCCTCAGGGATGCCCAAGGTCTGCCCCGGCCATGAAGCCAGACCAGGCTAGGCGCTAGTGGTGCCTCTGAGGGGCTGAATGATGGGTTCTGTATACAGTGCTTCCACTCATGGCAGATGCCGTGTGCCACCTCTGCAGCCTGCTGCAGGACAACCAAGAGGTGTCTGACCTCACTATTGATGCCCAACAAAGTTAGCACTGTCCCAGCCATATTGACCCTAGGCTCTTATCAGAGGGTCAGTGCTGAGACAACTGGCATCGATCAGTCCACAGCCCTGCAGATTTTAGTGCCTGGAGACAGACTATGTGGGAGGCTCTGCAAAGAGACAGGTCTACAGATTGACCTGTTATTGCTTATAACCCAAAACACAAAAATAAACATGTATTACAGTGTCCCGTTGGCTACCCACAACCACACAATAAAGATTCACACCTCTTCTAGCTGGAGAGATTAAAAAGTCGGGAGGAGGGTAGCATGCAGACTGGCAGCAGATCCTCAGTTTGCTTGGTTCTCCAATTTTCATCCTAGCCTATACCCTCTACTTATAGATGGATTTATTATTGTAAACGTTCTCTGTTTGGTTTTTTTCACATTTTTTTGTTTCACTGAAACGTTTGCAACTAAACTGAACCAACCTTCTCACGGACCAGGGAGATGTCAGTTAGCTGGGATTTATGTCCTTGGGAAAATTCTATGAAATCTATGAAATCTATGAAATTTACAGTTCTGGAAGAGAGGATTTCTTGTCTCCTTCCCTTACCATCATGGAATGTTGCTTGCCACTATTCTGTTTCCTTTTCACCTTGGTTTAGGATCCTCACTGACAAGGCTGTTTTGTTTTTACAACTTATCTGAGAAACTCAACATAAATGTATCTATTGTTGCAAAACTACATCTGATATATTTGGTTACATTAATCACTACTGCTAAGATTTTAAGATAAATCTATGATATATATCTGGATTATCTATTTTAAGGTCTTTTTTATAATGTCTCCTTTCAAGCTTTGTGGGTTTTGCACTTCAGTCTCATTGGTTTAGGTGGACAGGTTGATTGTTCCCTTTATTTTGCTGACCAAGCTAGTTGAAACAGCTGCAAAGGTTCACTCTACAGTTGCTCAGAAAAAAGGCTTTGTGGCTTTTGCTTTAGCTACACTTCTGCAGTTTGGCCTAGCCCTTCTGAAAATGGCCACGGCTGGCAACAGTGCACAGATTTTGTGCTTGTGAACAGTCACTGCAAATACACTATGCATATGATAGTGGTTGGCAGCGCCTGCCACATCTTCCCCAACATCATGGTTAGGTTCCTCACATCCAGCCATGACATCTCTGTAGTTTCAGTGCAGTGAGATTGTGCCCAGATGACTGCTATGGAGGAAGATCCACCTCTCTGTCTCTTGCCTCAGCTGCTCAACCCCTGTAGCCAGCCTCCTTTGGTGGGTGAAGTGTCTCTTACGCTGACCTGCAGCCTGACCCAGTCCTTGACTGGAGCTCCTGGGCTGTGGCTCAGAGCCACCTCTTTTTTGTCTTTGCAGAGACGATCCTGTTTACTCACCCAGCCACAGCTCTTCATCCCCCATGCGTATCCAAATGGCTACAAACCCCAGCCCACAAGCTAGATTCAGCTCCCAGGTCTGCAACTTTTGGCACAGGGAATCCCTACAGGTCAGAAAACTTGGTGGCTGGAGAGTGGTGGCATCATTCACCTGCTGCCAAATTTCTGGACCTGTAGGGAGCCCTGCAGGCTGAATATCATGGGCCTGTGTGCTGCAGGACCCTGGGGAGATGGATAGGGGTGGTGAGGGGCCTGGTCCTAGCACATGAGAACAGCATAGGGTCCCAGGGCCTGATTCTAGCACATGGGGGTGGACAGAGGCAATACAGGGCCCAATCCTGATGTGTGGGGCTCAGTCCAGCCTCCAGACTGGCTCTGTGCCACTCATCCAACCTGTGAGGCCAAAACATTGTGCACCACTGCGCTATATGACTGTTGGAATGCACATGACCCAGTCAGTAATTCAGCTAAAATACCATTATTAGCTCCAAAGGCCAATAGTAGCTGTACAGGCACCTTAAACAAACACTCTAAAATACTATAACAAATTACTGACTGTACATGAGATAGCAATCTTACAATACTGCTTGATGACTGCACCCACACAGTAATTACAGTTACAAGCACTCGATCAGAATCCTTACTAGCGAGGCAGATTGTAGCTGTGCCATGCTGATTGGGTCCAGTAGATCAGCTCAGACTAGCAAGAAGCCATCTTTCCTGTCTCTCTTTTCCCTAGATTACTCATTCATTACATCACCTTCTTCTGAATTCTAGAAATTGGTCAGTACTAGCCCAGACTTTCACAGACCCAATACACAAAACCTTTTTACTTCGTTCATCCTTAGTGGGTCTCTGTAGACCTCCTGGAGCCAACTTCCTTGACATCTTGGTGAACCTATTTCCTTCCTGTTGTTCCCACACCTTTTCTCTTACATTAGCACATTTATGGCTTATCACACTTCATCCTGCCATCATTTGCATTTTGCCTATCTGTATTTCTGTGTGTGCGTCTTCTGTCTGTCTATCTGGCTCTGTCTCTCTCAAATCATAGATTCCTGGAATTGTCTGGCTTGCACCAGCACAATAAAACATCCCCAGACCTATTGCGTAATTACAGCATAAAGGCAGTCCTCGGACTTACGACACAATTGGTTCCTGAAAATTTCGTCTTAAGTTGAAACTTTGTAACTCGGAACCAATTTTCTCATAAGAAACAATGTTATAAATGGGGGATTGGTCCCTGAACCAAGGCCCAATACCCTATTTTCACCAAAAATACCCCAGAATTTTGTACTTGATCAATTAAAGATGAGTAATATAGCTACATTAATGTATTTATAGTGTAAATAGCAATCCTATTGATTTGGAAAGACTTCTTTGAGGTGACTTTGCTGGACTTTTTGAAGGGTTCTTGGCTGAAGTCTTTTCAGGAGTCTTGTCTGCAGGTTTTCTGGAGTCTTGTCTGCTTTCTTAAAGAAAGTATCCAAGGAAGTTTGGACAGATGCTCTCCAGGGAGATGGGTGACGCGGTGAACTTGTTTACTGGCATGGCGTTGCATCAGATCAAGCTGTGTAAAGTCGAAACTGACATCATAAAGTTGAAACAGGGTGTCAATTTATAAACTTTGTAAGTGCAAAATGTTGTAACTTGAAACGTTGTAAGTCGAGGACTGCCTGTATTTCATAATTTCCAGAACAACCACATGCACCAGTGCACCAGATCAGTTGTGTAGAATCGTGCTCAACTTTTTGCCCTTGTGGGCTAGATGAGTGGTGTGGGGGTCAGTCCATGGGCCAGATCCTGTACAGGGTTGGTGCATGGGGGCAGATCATGGACCTGACTCCATGCTTCCCTGATCCAACTGCACACCAGCCGAGTCTCAAGCACTGTCCCGATCCAGTGGTGCCCCAAACCAATCCCACACACCCAGATCTGGCCGCATACTGGCTGTACAGAGCCATGTTATCTGACCTGCAGGACTCCTCATGCGGCCAGAAATTTGGCAGCAGGGAAGTGGCCACCAGCACAGCCACCTCTCTCCTGCTGCCAAATTCCCAGACCATTGGGGTGCCCCAGGAGCTGTATGATTTGGCCAGTTATTGAGCAATTATTACCAATGAGTGGAGGAATAGTCCAGAAGGACAGTCAGGGCCAGGCTGATGTGGGAGCTGTTTGAGTAGTTCTTGGTGCATGAGTAGCTCTTGGTGCAACCCATGGCCCATGTCCATAAGTGCAGGTGACCCTTTGGGCCACATCCCACATCCTCCTGTGATGCACCCTGCAACTCTTTGCCAGCCATGACATGCTGGGGCCTCTTCTCTGTGCCTGGGGAGACATGGTATGCAGAACACCTGTGCCAGGTGCCTGTTATACTGACTTTAGTGTTGGAGGTTCATCCGTGATGCCCTGCCCCTCAGGATGCTTCTGGTCTCTGTGACAACTGGAGACCACCAGGTGTAAGTGGGACCTCATGCACCCAATGAAGGCTTCTTGGTCACAACTCCCCCATGCCTTCTGGATGCCCTACTGGATTCACACCCTGGTCCACCACCACCTCCAGTCCCTCCACTTCTTCTGGACAGACTCAGTGATCCATTTCTGTTGCCTCTTTCTCCCACCCGTATACTGACCTGCTGCTGCATCTTTCTCAGCAGGCAGTCATACTCTACCCAGGCATATTGCATTGCCAACTGCAGCCAACTGCAGAGCATGTAGAGAGGTGTTTTCCTGGGTGCCTGTCCATTATGCAGTTAGGTGGGGGCCAGTGGAGGTGAGTGGGGTGATTTACCTGGCTAGGGCCAGAGCAGGCAAAGGAAAATAGTCTTGTGGGTGCAAGTTTGCACTGCAGGGATAGCCAGTGTTGTGCCCAGCTGTGTGGGGGCAGAGGCTGGCCAGTTCCCTTTCCTAAAAGACTTCCTGTCTGCCTTCAGAGAGCAATGGAGATAAAAGGCTCATCCAGTGCTGTGGGTGTGGGGTTGGGGAGGGATGTAGGAATGTCTCTGCCTCAGGGATGCTCCTTCCTGTAGGTACTGAAGAGGACTTCTGGTATCTATTTAGGCTACCCAGCTAGTGGGCAATTTCTCTCTGAGCTGCCATATGGGGACATGCAAGTCATCCATCACCCTCTGTATAAGAACTGGAGTAAAATAGGATTACCGTCAGTGTTAGTTGGGTCAGGGTTAGTTAGTTATTAAGTCAGGGTTAGCTGCAAGCTATGCTTTCATCTTCTGCTGGGTGAAATAGGATTCAGGATTCAGATCACTGATTCTAGTTGGTTCAAATGGGACTGTGCAATTGGCTGTGAAGCCTTTTCCACCCAGGTTGGCAATCTGGAAGTGGGGAGAAGCAGTTGCATTGGGGAGTGAGGATTTTCCCCTGGGGTTTCTGGCCTCTGGAAAATGAGGTAGTGGCTGAGGTCCAGGTATGTGCACCCCAAAATCTCCAGGCCTGCTGGCACCTGTTCAGCTCTGGCAGGAAGTTGGACCAGTGCAGCCACTATGTCTAATGCACCAGGCAAAGAAGAGCAAGAGGACACCAGGCTCCTTCCTCAGCCCCTTCCAACAATGTCAGCTTGACTATGGTGAAATGGAGGGAGTGCCCTGCCAGCATAGCCCAGGTGCTTCAGGTCATCACAAAGCAGTAAAGGACATTCAACTTCCCCTTTTGCTTATTTGATTATATTCCACCCTCTCTAAAAGAGGGTGGCTTACAATAAAAACAAGAAAAAATACAAAAACAAATAAAATGCACACATAAAATAATCATTGATAAAGCAGTTCCCCAGACTGTACCCCAGATTTGCTAAAATGAACAAAGTGGGTCAAGTTTGGGGAAGCTGGTTTGGCAAGAGCTTCCCTGGGCGGAGAGATGGGAAAGCTGAAGAGAGCACATGTGCCAAATGCAGCGGGGTCCTCAGCTTACACCAGCTGGGCTTGGGTTACCTGGGTTATGGCCACCTGCCTGTGTAACAGGAGCCCATTGCATGGCATAGAAAAGCCTTGCTGCCCCAAGCCTTGCTGATCTCCGAGTGTGCTAGGCCCATCGGCACATGACTGACTGGTTTTATTTCTCCAGATTATACATACTGTTGGAATACCTTTTTGGAGGATGATGGCGAGGATGAGTCTGATGATTATGGTGGATATGCAGGTGTTCATGAGGATGAGGATGAGTCTGACGATGATGACTATTTACCCACGCACTTTGCTCCATGGATAATGCTGTATTCTCTTGAACTCAGCTGCATCCTTCAGGTTGGTCACCCATTAAGCAGGAGGAAATTGCACCTGGGAGTGATGGGTGGTCTCAGATAAATGGGCTGGATGGAGCTGGGAGTGGTTCTTTCCATCCTAGGGGGAGTGGGAACCCTGCTGCCGTAAATGTAAAAAACTGCCCTGGTCCTTTAAGACACCAACACAGCAAGGTTTTTCTTAGGTGCTGTGTAGGCACATTCTTCTGAAAGGGTGTACAACAGGGGTGGGCAATTATTTGGGCCAGAGGGTCACTTAACAAGTTTTGGTGAGCTGTTGAGGGCCATATGTGTGCACTTACTCACTCAGTCTCACATACACACAGTCACACACACATGCACTCTTGCACACATATGAACTCCCTGCAGCCGGCCGAGGCTGGCTCTGGAGCAGGAGCAAAAGAATGAGCCCGCCTGGGGCTGTGGCATCTTATCTCCACTCCTCCCTGTGCACTCCTCCCCTCCAACCCCAACACAGCCTGGCTTTGCTGACATTGGCCAGCAGAGCCATGCTATGCTGGGGATGGGGCCATGACATTAGCAGCCCCATGGAGGCAGGCTGGTGGGGGAGTGGGAATGCCCCCACCTCTTGGCCTCCCCACTGACCCACTGTGCAGACTCTGGTGGGGGGAGAAGGAAGGTTCAGTTCCCTCTCTCACCCACCCCACTGCCACGTGGTGCCAGGTGAGTGGGGTTCTGGCCTGTGCTGGCATGGCAGGGGGATGCTGGATAGAAGTAACCCCACCTGCCCAGCATCACCAGGTCAGACTCCAGGCTGCCGGGCAGTGCCAGGTAGAAGGGCAGAGCTGCCTCTGCCCAGCATCCCCTGCCAGAGCTGGAGCTGCTGCCCACAGGCTCACCAATTGATTTTTTTCTGGCTCATGGGCAGGTAACAGCTCTGGCTCTGGACTCTGCTGGTGCCATGTACCAGGTAGAATCAATTGGAGAGCCAGATGTGGCCTGTGGGGCCATATTTTACCCACCCCTGATATACAGACAGTATCAGGGAGGGATCAGACCAGATTATGGATGACAGCTCTATCTGGGCTGTTAAACATCCATCCACAACATAACCTCAGGTGAAAGACATCCCTAACTCTATGACGGCTGGTGACTTGGAGGGTCTGACAGGGAATGAATCATTCTACCCAATGCCCCTAAAGCACCTGCTACCAACCATTGTCAGAGGCAGGACGCAGGGCTAGATGGACCTTTGGATTTTCTTATGTCCTTATTTACCTTGGGGAAATGGATGCCAGGCAGAGGCCTCACTTGCCCCACACTGAACTGTTAACCCCTTTTCCTACCAACACAGGGATGGGGCTTGTCTTCTCACTGAGTTGTGGGGCCATTGACTAGTTTTCTGATCATTTCTGAGTTCTCCCCAGTTCTGGATCACCCACCTCTGTGAGGTCAGAAGTTCCTGGCCTGTGCACCGTGAGCAGGGCTGCCTAAAAAGGGAGTTTTTGTCCTGGAGAATTTTTGAGATTTGTTTTGTTCTGCCTCAGAGGGAACCCAAGAATGGTCCAAATTCCTCTCAAAAAGACCCAGTGAATAGGAAGGGAAAAGGCTCCCTCTGGGACTGGCAGCAGCTCAGTATTAACCTGACATGCTGGGATGGAAGAGATGTAGGTCACCTTCCTGGACTGACTCAGGCACATGTATATATGTGAGATACACAGGAAACACTTGGTTTCAATTTATTGGCTTTTGTGTGACAAGATGCCATTTTCTTGGAAAATTCTTTACCAGAAGTAATGATGCACCAATGTGATCATTAAACATATCACAGAACAGCTTTGGAAGTGGCCTGGCTCTGAACAGTAACAAGAAGTATGAATGTTATATTTTCTCACATATACCACACCCCTAAATATAATTCATCCCCTGGTTTTTATAGGCAGCTTAAAGGAAAAAAAATCCTACCTTGAAGGATAGGTAAGTAATTGATCCAGCACACTGGGTTTGGGGCTGTGTCAGGTCTGGCCATGGACCAACCTTAGTGTGCAGGGGGTAGGGCATAGAAGGGGTGTTCTTCACAGGTCTGGAAATCTGTCAGGAGGAGGGGAGTGGTGACAGCATTTCTTGCTGTGGCTTCAAGAATGGCAGCAATGAATACTGCCACTGCTCTCCCTCCCATCCCCCTGCCAAATTTCTGGACCCATGGGGATCCCATTTTCTTGCATATAATGCACACCCCGATTCTCACAAGCTGATTTTGGTGAAAAAGGTATGGGTTCTATGCAAGAAAATACAGTATTATGAACCAGTACAGTTATCAGAATGGCCTAGGCCTGACCCTTCCAGGCCCATCTCTGTTTCATGAGAAACAAGCGGTCAGGGCTTCCCTGCTGCTTGCTGCATAGACAAGTGGGATAGCTCTTCCCTGTCCCTTATGCTGTTTCCTGCCATGGTCATCTAATACCTGAGTGGGTCTAAAGTGCCAAGGAATTAATTTTACTTCCCTTTTTCCTCACCAGGGCTTTGCACCTTGTTTAAAGATCATCCAAGGCAATCATATGAGTCCTACCTTCCAACTTCATGTCCAAGATCAAGAACAAAAAAGATTACTTGAGCCAGCCAACCCCTGGGGAGCTGACTAGTTGGCAAGGGCCATGAGTACCTGAACCAGGCCATCAGCTGATTGCCAGAAACCAGTTTCCAGAAAATGAAGCTCCATCACATGCGGGGATGAGGGGGAAGGGGAGGGAAGTATGCTGTCAGTTTGGGGACAACAGTGTCCTAGGCCCACTGCTCCACACATACCACATTTCCTCTGTTTGTGGATCTCTGTGGTCTGGGTTACCTGGGAGAACAGTCCTTAAACACGACTGTAATGTCCTAACATAAGAGTGTAGACCTTTGGGTGGGTGAATTCATCCTAAGTAACGAGTACAGTTCTTTGAAAAATTCCTCCATTTGCTAAGAGCAGTCATGTAAGCTGGTATTCATCATTATGGTGTAAGCCCTTTATTGCAGAAGTCATTGGCTGAACTGTCCTACAAAATTATGAAAGTTATGAACAGTGTATCTCACAAATATCTTTGTCCATAAGAAGGACTGTGGTTCAACAGGCTGGTTTGAGTAAAAAAACCCAGATGTAGCACTACTAAACCATGCTTTCTGAAAAACAAAGCTAGCATTTTTTTTAGGCGCTACCTTTGCATTCATATCAACACCCCTATAAAGTAACAGATGCACTTAGAAACAACATACCTCCAATTACTGTTTAAATGTAAAATTAATAAGGGGATTTCCATTAATCATGGTTAAGTGCCACACTTGGACTTTGGAAGAAGTCTACTTGCATGGTCCAAAAGTTGCCAGTGATTTTCAACCTGTGGTCCGCAGACCCCTGGGGGTCTGAAGATGACTGTGATCAATCAAAAGTGTATGAATACCCACACTTACACTTCAAAGGGATCCATACTTCCATTCAAAATTTCCAAAGGGGTCCACAAATATAAAAAGTTTGAAAACCATTATGCCTTTCTGTAATAGTAAGAGCTTTGCTAATAGCAAGAGTTCTGCACGCTGATTCTATAGTAGACCAGTGAAGCGGCACGTAGACTCCTGCTCTGTGAGCGTGACTGAACTATGAACTTAGATAGCTGAATGTTGTAATACCCTGGAATGTAGTAAACACCAGGTGTGTTAGATCACGACTCATTCCTAAATTCCTAGCTTAAAATAACTAAATCCCTAGCTCGAGATAACATTATTTACTCTAGACTATGTAAGCTGTACATTCTTAAATTACAATGGGGTTCCTCAGCTCTGGCAAGAGTTCTGACTTGTGCGGAGCCCCGGCGCAGGCTATTGCATCTTCGGGATCGAGACACTCCGGGGCCAGGGAAACCATGTGGGGTGGCGGCTGCCGCCTAAGGCCGATGTGAGGTAACTGTCCTCTCTTCTCTGTTCTATTGCCTGCCTCTGCAAGTATCCTTAAATAAAGCTTTGCAAGGGTGAAAACAACCGTGAGTATGTCCTTTGTTCAAGCGCGGAGAATCTTCTGAGCCCAGTAGTTCATTCTAAGACAATTGGTGTTAGCAGTGGGATTCCCCTGATGTTTGGCATGGACCTATTTAAGAGGCTGTGGAAGGGGGAGGGAGAGGGATCAGAAAGAAGGATGCTGGGTTGGCCCGATATCGGGTTGTGGTATGGGGTAGCAAAGGCACTCTGTAAATTGAGTCCATCTGTTTATTGGAGTAAGGAGGAGTGCCCTGTAACTCCTGCCGAGGTGCAACGGTGTGCAACAGCGGGTTGAGAAGGAGCTTAAGTCTGAGGGGGAGAGTGGTGCTAGACACACCATCCCTTGGCTGCTCCTTATGGTGCTTGAATGTCTGAGCACACAAAATGCCTGTCTGCAGAAACAGCTCGATCCGGCTGTCCGTTGGCAGATGCGTCTGAATTTGAATGAAGCAATATTGCATGAGTTATGTTCTAAACAACTTGATTCTGCCTCCCCTAACTGTTCCTCCTCCCTGTCGGCGCTAGTCTCCCAGCTGTCTAAGCTGGAGGCAGCTCTGGTGATGACAGAGCTACCTTTACGAAATGCTAGGAGGATCACAAGTGAGTAGATAGATCCGGAAGAGTGGGATGGGAATATATAGTGATGAGGTCGAACATGCTGAGAGTTTGGATGGTGAGGAGTGCCAACGTGCATTTGCACGACTAGTATATTATAATCGTACCACCCAGGGACCTGCAGGAGTCAGTAGATCCCAGGAGATCAGAGAGTACACAACAGCAGAATTGGGTACCTTGGCAGGGAAATTTTGAAAAGAGCTGAAAGAGGGACTGAAAACATAGATATTAAAAGTACTCGATGAAGGTAGTGCACATGTAAGTGTCACCATAGGTCAATTGAAGGCGTTAGGAAATCTAACAAGAGACACTTTATACAATGCTACAATGCATACCGCACATGCCCATGCTCTGTTATTAGATTGGTGTATAGAATGCTGGATAGACAGGTGGCCAGAGAGGGGAGATCACGATAACCCAGAGCCATGGTCTTGGCAGACCATGGAAGAGGGACTAGAGATTTTGCGGGAAGAAGCAATGCAAAATTAGATGTATGGGGGGTGGGTAGGGAATAGTCCAGAGAATATGCCTTTTACATCTCAGATTAAGAATTTGTTAATCAATACTGCTCCTTCCCATCTGCGTACCCATGTGTCCCTCCTATTAGCGGAACGACAGGAGAAAACGGTCGGGGACATAGCTGCCAAATTGTTAGAGAATACTCCTCTGGTGGAGGCTGGAAGTTCACAAACGTGGGCGGTTCAGAAGCAAACAGACAAGGAGCAGGAAGGGCATAAAAAGCTGTTAGCTCGACGAGATTTATGGGTCTGGCTCATAAGGCACGGGGTGTCCAAAGCAAAAATTGATAGGCAACCCACGAAAGTTTTAGTGCAGAAGTATCAGCTTTTAAGTAGACAGAGAGCCCCTGTGGAGGGAGTCCAACCCTTAGCGCCCCCGTTATACCCTGACTTGATGCAGTTTCATATTCCCCAGCCACAATGACATGATGGCCAAAGTCCCTCCTGCTGGAGTGTGGGCCTGCCCTGGCCGGAGGACCAGAGGCCATATGCCCGAGTGACGGTGGAATAGCCAACTAGAGGAGTTCAAACTTTTATAAGACTATTAGATACTAGCTCTGAAATTACCATTATACCGGAAGACCCAACTAACTTGAAGGGGGAAAAGATGCTTTTAAGAAGATATGAGAATGCGTCCGTGACCGGGTGTCTAGTGACTGTGTATATTACTGTGGGATCCACCAAACACAGATTAATGTGGGTAGTAGTATTGCCTATCCATGAATGTACGGTAGGGATTGATGTTCTAGGGGAATGGAAAAATATCCAGGTAGGCACCCCAAACAATATCAGACACTTATTAGTGAGTCGTGCTAAGTGGGAACCCCTGGAACTACCGATTCCCCACCAGATTGTTAACCTTAAGCAATATCGAATCCCGGGTGGGAAGGAAGACATTACCAAGATGATCAAAGACTTGCAGGAGGCGGGTGTGCTAGTGCCCATTAACTCGCCGTTCAATTCTCCCGTCTGGCCAGTTCGCAAACCTGATGGGTCGTAGAGATTGACGGTAGATTATTGAGAATTTAACAAAGTAGTAGACCCGATTTCAGCTGCGGTACCAGATATGGTTTCTATGCTAGAAGATATTAGTGCCGCCTCCAGTGAATAGTATGCTGTGATTGACTTGGCTAATGCCTTTTTCTCTATCCCTCTGCATGCAGATCATCAAGCCCAGTTTGCCTTTATTTGAGAGGGACAGCAATACACTTTCACCGTGCTTCCATAAGGGTATTTAAACTCCCCTGCTTATTGTCACAACATGGTCAGACGTGACTTAAGTGAGATTTCTTTGCCTGAAAGAGTGTTAGCCAAGCATTATAATGATGATATAATGCTAATAAGCAACACCCTGAATCCTGTGGCAGAAACTCTAGAATGTGTAGTGAAGCATATGCGGGAGAGGGAGTGGGAGATAAAATGAAACATATGCGGGAGAGGAGGTGGGAGATAAATCCACAAAACATTCAAAGTCCAGCCCAAAATGTAAAATTTCTGGGAGTTCAGTGGTCAAGACCTACTAGAGATATTCCACAGAAAATAAAGGATAAACTACTCTCCCTCCCCGACCCTACTACTAAAAAAGAAGCACGAAGACTGATTGGCCTTTTTGAATTCTGGCGGACCCACATACCTCACCTTAAAATATTGATGCAGCCCTTGTATAAAGTAATACATAAAGCTGCTGCCTTTGAATGGGGAAAAAACCAACACCAGGCCTTCAATGATGTAAAAGCAGCCGTACCGACTACCCTGCTCCTGGGTCCTTATTCATCATCTAACCCTATTACATTAGAAGTGTCAGTATATCAGGATCATGCATCACGGAGCTTGTGGCAGACTCCCATAGGGACACATCAGAAGCACCTATTAGGCTTTTAAACTCAGAAATTACCTGATGCAGCCGCTAACTATACCCTTTTTGAACAGCAGTTGCTAGCATGCTATTGGGCATTGGTTGATATGGAACGAATAACTGAGGGACATGAGATTCGTATTAGACCAGAAATTCCCATAATGCAGTGGGTCATGCAGGACTCCATCTCCAACAAATCAAGGAGAGCCCAAGAATCCTCCATTATCAAATGGAAACAGTACATACAAGAGCGTGTAAAGTTCGGCCCCCATGGCGTAAGCAAACTTCATGAAGAAATAAGTACCCTGCAGGCACCAGTGGAAGGTAGACCAGATTTGTTACCCATTGCAACCTTGCCCCCCCACTTGCCTCATGGGCCCCTCACTATAACGATCTGCTACCTGACCAAAGGAAGGCTGCCTAGTTTACAGATGGCTCAGCGCAATACGAGAGTCCTACTCGCATGTGGACTGTGGCTGCCATTAACCCTGTAACTGGTCACCAACTCAAAAATACCGGGATGAGGGCCTCCTCCCAATAGGCTGAGTTGAGAGCTCTTATGCTAGTAGTAAATTATGAGACCAAATGGCAAAGCCCGGCAGTTTAAATCTATATTGATTCCTGGGCAGTGGCAAATAGTTTGGCAGTATAGTCCGGCGCCTGGAAGGCCTCAAACTGAAAAATCAGAAGAAAAGACTTATGAGGCCAGAACCTGTAGAAACAACTAGCCATACAATCTAAGGTAATAAAAATTCATGTTAGTCATGTGGACGCCCACCAACCCATCAACACTGGGAATCCTGAACATAAATAGAACAACCATGCTGATGCTTGGACCCGGCCAGTGTTGGCTTGTCAGACCAACGCTTTTGCCGACTAGATACACCAGCAATCAGAACATGCAGGAAGGGACTCGGCCTATGCCTAAGTGGTTGCATGTGACTTGCCCATAGCCCGGAGTGAAACTGCAACAGCGGCAGCGCAGTGTCCGCGATGTCAGTTGGCTCGAAAGCCCTTGAACGAGAGGCCACGCCATATCCCCAGAGAGCACAGACCAGCTGAGAAATGGCAAGCTGACTATATTGAGCCACTGCCAGCTATAAATCGTTATCGCTATGCCTTGACAGCCATCAACACTTTCTCCAAATATGAGATCGCTGTACTGGTCCAGAAGGCAGATGCCTCATCCACCATCTGTGTATTAGAGGCACACCTTGTCCATATTCACAGCATACCCCATGAAATTTCCTCCGATCAAGGTACACACTTCACTGCATTGCTTACCCAACAATGGGCAGCTAGACTTGGCATTGCTTAAAGATTTCATGTGCCGTACCACCCACAGGCAGTAAGCCTCATTGAGAAATGAAATAGTCAATGGAAGCAATTACTGACCAAGCGTGGAGAATCTTCTGAACCCAGTAGTTCATTCTAAGACACTTTCCTTCCCCAGTGTTGTCAGTCTGCCTTAGCCCTTCTTTGCATTTAGGCTACTGCCACTGACAGCCTGAAGGTACGCTCTACATTTATGCCACTCAGCTTGTGCTTTGCTTTTCAATAAAGCCTGGTTTTCTTGTATATGTACAGGTATGCTGTAAACTTCATTCCAGAAAACCTGTGTTACAACCAAAGGGTGAGGTCTCTGTACTAAAGATCTTCCCAACGATGATGTCTGATTTAGCCAGAGGTGTAACTGGCCAGTACTTTGCCCTGGGTTGTACTGTTTATCCTTGTACCCTGCACCTTTCCTGAAGTAGCTCTTCCTCTAGCAATGGGGAGGGCAGTGCAGCAGCAGTGCAGGGACAATGGCTGGAGGTTCACTTGCTGGGGAAGAAATAACCTCCCTTTTTTGGCACCGAAATGTTTGTCAAGTGCCCAAAAAACACTCCTACAGCACCATCATTTCTATGCACTTCCTGCTGCCAGAGCCAGGGCTACTGCAGGGAAGGTGCGGGGTGGGGTGGTTGGTGGACAGGAAGGTGAAGTACTCCTCTAGCTCCATTACAAGTCCCACT